AGCATCCTCAATTTTGAGATACCTAACTAAACTGAATTATTAGCCTAAGCAGAGAATGGGATAAATTGGGTGACTAATCCAGACATTGCTGGATTTAGGGTTCCAAATGATCTCATCATGGTTCTACCTTTTTCCCTACATCTTTAATTTGCTTCCCTGCATGAACTGGTTTATTCTCAGAGAGAGAATTCTTTGTTCATATGGTAGGAAAAACTGAGAATCCCCACTTTCTATCTTCATGGATAAGAAGTTAAGAGGAACAGACTTGACTTCTTTAAATATCATTCATCAAATCTCGGGTTCTTTACCTATCTTTGAGTTCTTTGACCTCATCAGGGGAAGGGAGAGCTCACCTCTGTCAACTCTAGATGTGTGCCCACATCTGAGTTTGAGTAGGTAAGGCATTATGATTGATAGTTCCATCTTGATTCATAGAGGCTGAAAGGGGTTCTTGTCCAAAGAAATGGCTGTGGATGTTACCAAAGGAACAGCAGGAATCTCTCCCCTTACCAATGTAGGGGGTGTACAAAATTAGAGTTTCTTAAAGGATGGGATCAGGAAATAGATGCTGGGTGGCACAAGACATCTACTACAAATAAATATGACAGGAAAGTATAACAGATGAAAGAGAAAACTTTCTCTTTCTCTTTCCATTAAAAAGTGTCCTCCACTCAGTAGTGCAATGCAGATGTAAGATTGTATTAAAGAAACAAACAAAGAAAACAACAAAAACAAAAACACAACTGTGGATGGAAATTTAGATGAAGGATGGAAACTGAGCCAGAATATCTTAGCAGCAGCAGCAGCAGCAGCAGCAGGAATAGCAGCAGGTAAGGGGAACAACTTTGTAAATTACAAATTCGGTTTAAATAGAGAGAGAATCAATTGGAAGTGGAGAAAGTGGAGAGACATTATTTTCTGCAGAAATACAATGGGCAAAGGAAAATAATAAAGCAAATAAAACTAAGATGTTTAAGAAAACACCAAAAGATAAAATTAGGACTGAACCCTTAACTTCAGTTACACATTTTTTTTTTTTTAATCCTTGGGTGAGGACAGGTTAAGGACTACAAAAACCAAGCCTGTGAAAACACTTTATAATGTATGATCTTTGGGCCTAAAACTAGATTCTTTTCCCATTAAATATGGCACTAGAATGATGACTGGTCCGGTTTTAAATCAACTAGTCTTACACAGAGATTTTTGGTTCATATAACCTCAAAAAAGCACATACTGTGTCACGTGTTAGGTTCCAGATCCTGTGCTCTGTAGCTAAAGATATAAAGATGAATTAGATACTGTAAGGCTTGGATGTCTGTAGATTTGGCAAGCTTAGCATCACTTCCCTGTTTCTCTGGTAACAGATCACTCTTTCCACTCAGTTCAAGTGGTGCTAGTGCCTGGCTTCTGCCCTTCCTCTGTCAGCCTATGAGAAGGACCCAAGAATTAACACTTAACTCAGGAAGAACCAATGGAAGCCTCCCTTTATAGATGATCAAGAGTTTTAAGATTAGAGTATTTCAATCCTAGGCAGTTTTTGTAAGACACAATTATTTCAAAATCTACTAATTATCTTTGAAGTTCTAGAAACTGCACAGTGTGACTAAGAGGGCAGCAACTTATCTGATACTGTTTCTGCTCTGCCCACTTTATGTTTCAGTCATTGTCAAATAAAGGCAGTGGGAAATGGCAAGACCAGTTTTGATTCATTCAACACATGAGTGCTTCCTAGGTACAAAACACCATTCTAAACATTGCCCAGGAGAAAAAGATAAATAATACCAGCCCTTACCCTCAAGGATCTTACAACTTGGCAAGGGAAATAAGACATGAACACAGATGACTGCAATAAAAAGAAGACAATGATTACTGCCAGATGTTTGGGGAGAATGAGCAGAGCAAAGAGAGAGCATAGAGTAAGGCAACATTCAGTAGTCAGCCAAGAAATATTTATTGAGCAATCACAGGATGTGAAATGGACATGGCAAAGTACCACATGGGCTAGGACATGGGCAGGTGAAAAATCAGGCGACATTACTTGTTACCCAACTTTCTAAATATTTTTTTTGTCACCAAGTTCCTAATAAATATTCTTAAATTAAAAACTATATAAGGATATAATCTCTGAAATACAGCCTGGGGCACCAATGCCTCCAAACTAGGATTGTAGTACTTGTATTCCCCAGTATGCCTTCCCATTGCTTTGCTTCTCTCTCCCTTTCCAAATTAGCTGATGGTAACTTAAGATACCCATTTCAGGCCTTCCACCCTTTTTGAGCTGGTGTTTTACCACAGGTGAGTTAGAAAGGATCCTTTTGGCTTCAAACAACAGAAGGAAAAGAGTATAAAACTGAAAAAAATAATCCAGAGGCAATCTTGCTGGCATGTCTGGATCCAAGAGTCCAGATGTTTAAATCAGGCCCCTATCTCTCTCTACCCCCACCCCAATTTCTCCTTTCCCTTTCCCCTCTTATGTCTTTTATGATAGGATTCAAACGTCTCTCTGTTTATGTGGAAGCTCCTGGCACAGCTACACACTTATATCCTTACAGCTCCAGAATGCCAGGAAAGAGTGGGGGCCATAACAGTGTAAGATTGTAGCACAGTCCCATCTAGATTGATTGATACTCACATTGTACATAGAGGCAGTATTAGTACATTAATTATACCACTGTTCTCTTGAAAAAGACTGTGCAACGTGTTCTTAGAAAATAAGAATAGTATATTTTCTAAAAGATATACATGAAGTATTTTGAGGAAGAGGTAGTTTTTTTTTGTTTTTTTTTTTTGTTTTTTTTTTTTGTTTTTTTTTGGTTCTAACTCATTCACATATCGTCTGTTGGATAGTGGTAACCTTGTGTCACTGTCCTGCATACCACAACAAAAGTCCAGGGATTGGTCCTGGATGGCTCTGGCTGGGCTCTATTCCCATCCTTTAACTCATCACTGTAGCCAGTCACCAACCCTACCTTATAAGAAGTGGGTTCCATTCTCAAATCATAGGTAATGAAACATGGAGGAGGAGCTTATCCAAAAAGAATTTGATGGACTGTACTATCCCTAGAAGGAAGAGGAATAGATGGTGGACAAGAAAAAAAAAAAAAAAAAGAAAAAAGTCCTCTGTACTAGAATATGTTTGTAATGTTCTTTGGAGTTTAAAAAAAAAAGGGGGGTCTCTTACACGTAAAGAAATAGAGGATATTGGCCTAAAAGAGAGATCCATGGCCAAAGGGACATGGCTTGTTTTAAGAGGATTTGAGAGTTAACAGATGCCATGGAGAGCACCCAGTTCAATCTCATCATTGTACAGAGGGAAACTAAAATCCAGATAGGAAAACAGAAATGACAAGAGCATACAGGTAGTTGATGGCAGAGACACCCCACTATCTTCTGACTTTGTTTTATGTGCGTGTGTGTGTGTGTGTGTGTGTGTGGTTTTGTTGTTTGCTTGCTTTTTGTCCAAGGACATTTTTCTTTAGTACATTAACAACAACAACAACAAAGCCTTGTTTCTGGTTTTCGTCACTCTCAAATCTGTATGATATAGTTTTGCTGCACTCCAACAGAAAACCTCAGCAAGAGTTAACCAGCCTGAAACCACCCTGGTACCAAGGACAGAGACATTATCCTTCTTTTATATAAGAACTAGGGCCACCTGTTGCTTTAATAGCTCAAGTTTGGTCTCAGCCTGCAGGAAGGGACACCTTTGAAAATCAGCTTCCTAACTGCACTGCATCCTGATTTAGCTACCAAATCTCCAGCCAGAAAAAAAAAAAATAGATAGAAAGGCATCTGGATCATTGGGGAGACTTCTACCTGCCTCTCTTTCTTCCTCCTACTGTCACCTCTTTCCTGCTGCTTCCTGCCCGCGAAAACCTGTCACCAGCCCAGAAGCATCGCTGGAAATGGGTAGGAGGGAGCCTTGCACCTGTCAGCGCCAGAGAAAAAAGTGTGCTCTGCAGAGTTCTCGGGTGTTACATCTCTGGCGGTGAACGGAAGGAGAGAGAGGAGTCCGAGCTTTCAGCCGCAGATTTGCTGGAGACCGCGGTCAGCCAGAGCCATCCGCTCTGCCCAGGACCCCGCGAGCACCGAGGGTGCGCTTACGTTCCTAGCGTTTCTCGGCGTGTTTTCCTAGGAGCCAGTTCAGCGCCTCGCCCCGGACGAGTCTCCGGGTAAAGGCTCTTTAAGTCATGAATCAGGTTCCCGTGAATATGCGTGTTTTTCTTAAGGAAGCCTGGCACAGATCTAGGAGGAGTAGAGAGCGGGGTCCCCCGGCATCCCTTCCTCCCCGCGCCTCCCTCGCGCCCTCCGGCTCCGACAGCCGGGGCCCGCGACGTGAGGGTGGAGAGCAGGAGGACGCGTCCCGCCCTCCCGACCTGGCTGCCGCCCGTGCCTGGCGGGCGCGCGTGGGTGCAGGCGCGCGCGCTGGAGGCTGCCAGCGTGGGAGCGGAGAGGGAGTTCATGCCTGGCCTGCGACCTGCAATCCCTAGATTCCCCGGGGACCGCGAAACTCCCAGTCGGAGGCACTCCCTGCCTAGCCGCCCACCCATTCCCTCCCCCCTTAGCTCAGCACGCAACCCCTCCCTGCGTGATGATGCAAACCAGTGGGGAGGGCGGGCGCTGGCGAGGGTGGGGAGAGTCGGGGAGCTAGCGAGGGAGGGAGGGAGCGAGTGGGAGGAGGAGGAGAGGGAGCCGAGCGACCATTTAAAGCGATAGCAATCCTTGCCCTCTCCCCAGTGCTGGGCTGTTGGAGAGCGCGAGCGGCAAGCCGGGGAGCGCGAGCGCGGCGCGCCGGCCGGCGAACCCGGGAGCGCACGGAGCCCCGATCTGGCAGGCGCCGCGGGACCCCCGGCCCTCTCCCGCCGCCCCTCCCCGGGGGCCCCCACCCTCCGCGCCTGCAGGAGCCTCTGGGCTTCCCGGGAGGAGCTCACCCCGAGGGGCCCGGACCCCGGCGAGCCCGCCGCCGCCGCCGCCGCCGCCGCCGCAGCCGCCGGAGCAGCATGGTCCAGCTGGGGAAGCTGCTCCGCGTCCTGACTTTGATGAAGTTCCCCTGCTGCGTGCTGGAGGTGCTCCTGTGCGCGCTGGCGGCGGCGGCGCGCGGCCAGGAGATGTACGCCCCGCACTCCATCCGGATCGAGGGGGACGTCACCCTCGGGGGGCTGTTCCCGGTGCACGCCAAGGGTCCTAGCGGAGTGCCCTGCGGCGACATCAAGAGGGAGAACGGGATCCACAGGCTGGAAGCGATGCTCTACGCCCTGGACCAGATCAACAGCGATCCCAACCTGCTGCCCAACGTGACGCTGGGCGCGCGGATCCTGGACACTTGTTCCAGGGACACTTACGCGCTCGAACAGTCGCTCACTTTCGTCCAGGCGCTCATCCAGAAGGACACCTCCGACGTGCGCTGCACCAACGGCGAGCCTCCGGTTTTCGTCAAGCCGGAGAAAGTAGTTGGAGTGATTGGGGCTTCGGGGAGTTCGGTCTCCATCATGGTAGCCAACATCCTGAGGCTCTTTCAGGTAGGGAGGCGCTCCCCCCGGGGCAGAGCGCGCCTTAGCTCCCCGAGCACTTGATCCTAAAAGCTGGCTGGGACTCCAGGGGTGCGGGGTCAGGCCAGCCTTCGCGCATTTCCACCCTGGAGATCCGGCGAATCCCTCCCACCCCACCCGAGGAGGTGCCTTCCCCGCTTGGTTCATCCCCTTCCATCTCTCCCCTGTCCGCGCTCCACTCCATCCGGCTTGACATCCTGGATTTATGGCCCCATTTACAAGAAGCAATCTGCGAAAAACAAGGCGATGATTTAAATGGGTTTGCATTAGAGTGAAATACGGTCCACAAAAACAGGCTTGTAAAAGTGCCAGGCTCCTGTGAGAGCCGGCTAGGCTCATGGAATATGAAAGATGAGGAGACGCCTCGAAACTGGGCATTTCTCAACTCCCCAGCTTCCCAGCCCCAAGCCGCCCCGCAAGCCGCAGCTCCCTTGGAAAATTTCGAGAAGAGCTTAGGGAGGCACAGCTTAAACCGAGGGCTAGGTCTTCGCCCTCGTGTGTGGATGTTAATTGCCCATCTCCCTCGGGTTGGATCCCCCGACCTGTATAGCCTGACTCCGCGAGCGCGCGGGGCGGAAGGCACGGGGACGCTCCCCAAGTGGGGAGGTGCCACCTGCAGCCGTGACCCCCGGGGGATTTGCTCTGGGCACTTGTTTGCACCGTCTAAATTGCATTTGCAGTCCGGCCACTGGCAGGAGCTGGGCGATCAGCTTTCTACTCCTGCCACTTCAGAGCCCAGAGATGAGCTCATGCTAACTGCGAAACAAAATCGCTTTCGCTGCCTCCAGCCCCCGCCCATCCTTTCCCACGACCTCCCTAACACAGCCCCCCAGCCCCCCAACGCCGCTCCGCGGACGATTCCCGGAGCCTGGCGAGAAGGCGCCCGGAGGGAGGCACTGGGGTGCGCGGAGCAATGCCTGCGGCCCCCCCCCCCCCCCCCCCCCCCCCCCCCCCCCCGGCTCCGGGCGCCAGAGGGCAACCGCGAAAATGGGAGGAAGGCGGATCCGGGGCGGCTGAGCGGTGGGTTCTACTGCAGTGCTCGCTCTCCGCCTGCTCCTGCGTTCCGTGCCCCGGGGCTCCTCTGCTGCATTGGGTATAAATGGGCGGATTTGGGGTTTTAAGAAATTGAGTCACAGGGTCTGTGTGATCGTGGGTTCCCTTGTCCTTATTTCTCCCGTCTTTCTCGTGCTTCCTTGTTTTTCTCTTTTTCTCTCCCTCTCTTTTCAATTTCTGCTTCTTTTCTCCCTGTCTCCCCCCACCCTCAAGTTTTTTGTTCATCTGTGTCTTGAGATGGTCTTTTCCTAATGCACAGCTCTCTCCTTTCCTGATCGTGCCCAAACTCGATTAATCCCTTCTTCAGATGTGCTAGCTAACCCTGGTGCCCTGGTGCTTCCCACATCTAAAGAACTGGCTCCCTTCTGGTTGCTTTCCCTAAGGGTGTTGGGTTTCTGCAGGGGATTCCTTGCGAGATTCGGGCTGTCACCACCTCAGCCCCCAGGAGTGTGAAGTTTGTGTGTGCACCAAGAGAGGTGTCTGCTCAAGGCTGCAGCCTGGTATGGCCCCTCTGATCTTCTGAGCACCCCTAACCCTTCTTAAGTGTGCCATCCTGGGACTCGCTAGATATTTGCAAACCCGCAAATGCTTTGGGGGCACCCTTAATTCCGAGATGATGCTTTGGGAAGAGGCTGGATTAATGTAAGCAAAACCCAGAAGCCTTTCCTTCTTGTCTGTGCTTAAAGCGAGGCAACTTCAGAGGGCAGTGCTGCAGGAGAAAGTGGGAGCAGAGATGACCTGAGAACCACTGGGGTGACTCACAGCCCTGTGAGCCCTGAGCCCTGGGGGTTGAAGGCACATTTGGTGTTTCACATTTTTAAATTATTTTGGTGTGGGTTTCTCCTTCACTCAGCACACAGGCAGTGCTGCAGATGGGCCTGTTGGAAAAAAAGAGTGAAATGCTAAAGTCAGGAGAGGGATCTCAGGCTCAGCTGAAGGACCGAGTTTGCTGGAAAAGATTCCAGGGGGAGCTGATTCTTCCTCTGGTGTGTGTGAACCCGAGGCTCTTGTGAGAAGAACGGGAAATGGCTTGCCTTATGCTTAGTTCCCCCGTTCCCTGGGCTGGGAAGGAAAGGAAGCGAATGCCAGTGTTAGCAGTGTGGGTTGGGACCAAAACCATTCAGAGAAAACACTGTCATTTTCCTCTAATTTGCAAATTGCAGCTATTCATGTTGGATTGAACAGCTGAGGGAAAAAGAGCCCCCAGTTCTCACCTGCATTTATGGAGAAGAGGCTGGTGGCAGGAGGAATGCACCAACTTGTAGCTTGTGCTGTGAGCTGGGTAAAACTGTTGGTGTGGGCATCCTGCTCAACCATTGCCCAGATAGATAGATAGATAGATAGATAGAGATTCCAACAGCCTCAGCTTTTTTTTTTTTTTTTTGCACGTGATGGTAGGAGCTCCTGGCATGCCAGTCTAATCCCCAGTTTCCACGCCTCTATAAGCCTGCAAAATGAATAGAGAGAATAGTGGTACACAGACCCATTGTTCAAAGGCACAATCAATTTAGAGAGAAAGCGGGAAAGAACGGTAGGTGACTCTTCTCTGGGATTGCAGGGTTCAGCTCAATTAAGATTGTCCTATATAAAAGAAGCTTCTCTAAATGATTGAATTCTGAGCTCTCCAGAGAATTGAGTTTTCTTTTCCCAGGCCCTGTAGGTTGCTGCGGGGACCATGCCAAAGCTATCATTTGAGATAAAAATTTATGGTGAGATAAGCTTCTAGGCTGGGTGAAGGAATACTTGGTGATTTAAATGGGGGAGTGCTCCACACTTTGATGGGGTGGGACAGCAGAGAGTAATGAAACAGTGATGAATGTAGCTTAGGCTGTTGTTGCCAGCACAAACTGAAATGAAGTTCTTTCCTGAGAATTAGGATCTGGGCAAGAATGACTCCTCAGATGTAAATAGTGTCTATGACTTTGAATTTTCATTTGCCTGCTGGTGTAGAAGACCAAAGCGATGAACTGAGCAAGTCCTCTCCACCACCCCGCCTTCCTCTGTATCACACTGAATTGATTAGTAAGTGACATGTCAGAGGATAGGAATGATGTCCATTGGGTCTTTCAAATCTAGGAATTTGAGGCTAATGAAATTAGTGTGTGGCCAGGGCTCCGCCAACTAGAATTAAGTCACTGCAACCACCCTGCAATGCATTTTTAGCCTCAAAGAAGCATCAGGGAGAATTTCTGGAGATTTGTTTCTGAGCCTGTACAAAATAATACTCTCCTAATGCTAAGAAAGATTAAATGTAAATTAATTTTGACTATGAGTAACGTATTTAAAAAATAATCACAGAGTGGGGATGGCTTAAAGTGGAGAGCTTATATAATGTGGTGTCCAAAGGATAAATCTCCCCTGACCACTGTTTTATGAGCTATAAGTAAGATGTATTAGAGTGGAAAGTAATGGTCATGTTTTTATTCAGGGCTTCTCTGTTACTGACTTGAGAGCAAACACTCTGAGCGTATAAATTACTCTTGCTACATCCTGACTCTGAATGAACAATATTTCATGGCCAGTGACATGGTGTAAGCCATGGACTTGGAATTGAATGGTGTCTGTTTCAGTTGCTTTGTTTCTTCAAAAGCAACTAGATGGAAAAAGTAGCCAACTTGACTCTTGTTGGGGCATATTGCAAATCTACACCTGTGGACCTTGTACCGTCAGTGAAATACATTTGTAAATTTCTAAATGTTGTCCTTCTGTTCATTGAAGCTTGAATATAATCTCCAACTTTGGGGGCATTTTAGATATATGGACCTAGTTTTTTTTTCCATCTTTCTTTCGCTCCTTCTCTTCTCTCCTTCTAACTTATGTAATTGGATAGAACTGGGCACCTAGAATGGTGTGGTATTACTATAGTGGGGCCTTTTTTTAAAAACCACTCTAACCTACTCTTTTCAAAATTTCATAAATACAGGTGTCAGTGCCATTTGGAATAGGCTCTATAACAATCTCTGCCTCCACATTTACTGTGTTTCAGGAAATTTACCTAACAGATGGTGAGTGGGCAATTTTTAAAGGGGCATTTTTGAAAAGAGCAGAGAGGGAAGGAATAGAGACAGGCACATACTATATTTGAAGATACCTCTACATGTATATTTTATGATACTTGCCCATGATATAAAGATGTCTTTAGGGATTTTTCTCTTCAGATATAATAATGGATGCCTTTGCTTCAATTCCATAAGCATTGAGAGGATATTGAATCATAAATGCACCATTTCCTGCGTATATGGGTTGTGTCATGGACTTAAAAGCCCATAGCTGAATGACACAAAGTACACGCCAATCTCAATCCTGCCATTAGTTAGCTCTGTTACCCTACATAAGTCACTTAATTTGTCCAAGTCTCAATTACCTCACCTGATTTTTTTTTTCTTTAAAAACAAATGTAGTTTCTAAGTCTTTAACCTTTTTGGGTCATAATTTGCTTGGAGAAAACCCGCTGTTGTCCAAAGTCCATTTCCAGCTGCCACTTTGAACTTTGAGTGAGTTTGAGGTACTTTTAAAGAATATTTTCACACAGGTATCTTAGTTAATACCAGTGTAGCTGATTTCCCATATTCAGATTTTTTCCCCTTGTTGTTTTGCCAGTGTGTTCCTTAGTCATGTATATCAAGGCTGGTATGGAGAAAAATGACCTCCTGGGTTAGCTTACTACATGGTCATAAGACACCAGGCAGGGAGCTAGAACTGTGGAGTTTATAGTAGCAGACCTTAACTTTAATTATCCAGTGTTCTGTCCCATTTCATCTTGCAAAAACACCAGACCTTCCCTTGGAAAACTGCCAGATAATGACTTTTGCCTCCTCCCTGGCCCCAGGGATGAAATTCCTGACTGAACTCAAGCAAAGTGGGTGATGACTTCAGGTGTACGCTTTTGACTTTGACTAGACCTATCAGAATCTTCC